CACACACACACACACACACACACACACACACACACACACACACTAGAGTGGGATGTTCTGTAGCAGTGCCCCCCTTCATAAGTGTCTAGTACTACAAGGGCGGGACCGTTGCTTTCCTTTTGTCTGATCGCCCCCCTCTCTTGGATGGATGTAAAAAACTTGCTTGCCGGTGATAAGTAACAGGACTGATGACCCCCAGAATAGAGGGGGCTGTGTTGTTTTGAAAGAAAAAAAAAAATTGCAAGGCTGAGTGCAAGCCCAATTTGACACACAGCAACCTTGAACCAAAACAAAAACAGGCAAAAAAACAAACAAACATAAAATTTCAAATTTGACCCCCCAAACCCTTATTTCACTCTCGCTCTCCCTCTCCCACACCAAACAAACGGACACACGCTAGTCTCTATGACCCAAACCCTAATTTCAGTTTCCGACCCGTTAACCAAGGAGCTGAAAGTGGAGGGTCCCCGTTAACCACTTGCGCCCCTAAGTGAAGGCGGGCCCCTTGGACATTCGACAAGTGCAAGGGACCTGACTGTCCTCCTCTTGCTGGAGTGTACCACAACGCATGCATAGACATTAACTCACACAAGATGAAACGCACACATAGTCCGAACGAGATGGGATAGAACCAAGATGCGCAGCTCAATTAATCATTAAGTGACATTAACACATTATACAAGAGTATATGGAGATCCAGAGTTCAGCGCCCAACATTATCACGAGTTTCTTCCTTCCGTCTCACGAATGGGGCCTGGCTCAGCCAGTGCCACCTTCAGAACTCAAGTACAGCACACGGCAGGTAAGTATCCGCCATAGCCAGATCCTACCCCTCTCTCTCTCTCTCTTCTCTCCCTTGGACCTCAGTCTTGGTTCACTTGTCCCACCATACATGCACACTCGTACTACGAAGATCTACTTTGAATGCTACTCACTGTAGACTAACTACTAACCCACTACCTATACTAACTAGCTGGCGCAGATATGGCTGCCACTTGTAAGCCAGGGCCCAGCTCTCTTCCTCCTCTCAGCGCAGCTTCTCCTCCAGCGCTAACCCAGCCAGCCAGCGCACAAGTGCATGCAGCACTTCCACGCCAATATGCCAGTGGGAATCTGATGTCAAGGGAGGCTGGCCTATTGCTTTATACTGCTGGCCTCCCCTGGCGAGGTCTGTATTGGTCTGCATTGGCACTTTGGGCCTCCTTCAGTCCCAGACCCAAGCATATGTGTGTGTCCCAGTAATTTCCCCTCAGGGTCTGCTGCTGCTGCGGCCATCTGGCCTGGATTTCGGACTGGGCGTCTGAATCTAGACCCCCTATTAGACTTAGACAGAACTGGGAACCTGCCCTTTGACTTCTTTTTGGACAGACACACACTCTACACGAACAGACACTCATACTGCACGAACAGACACACATACTGCACGTACAGACACACCCCTTGCCTGAACAGACATGACCTACACACCCTCTGGACGAACAGATGTGGCCCCCAAATCTAAATATTGCAACTGTTCGTTCAGGGGCACAACTGTGACCTTTGACATTGGCTTTTTGTTTTAGTTAGGATGTGTCTTTTGACCCAGAGAACATGTCTTTTGATCTGCTTTCAGGAGTTGGGCCCTGGCGAGTGACCCCTCTATGTCGAACAGGGTCTGAATCGGTTAAAGGCCCTTTTACGAGGCTTGAAAACAGGCCAATGTGGCAGAGCAGGGCCTTGTGGGTTGGTTGCTGCACACAGCATCTGCAACCGACCAGTAGGCCCGATCGGTTGAAGATGCTCGGGCCCAGAAAGATGCTAAGGCTGAGGGCACTTACAGTTGAGGCCCAGGCACATTCTGGAAGGGACCTGGGTGGAGATACTGGGTCCAGAAGCTGCCTCGCCCAGCCAGACACGGCACATAAGGAAATGAGGCCGGTCGCACATTCTTGCTGGCTGGCTGGACGTGGCTGCTGGAGCGCAGGCCGCTTGGGGGCTAGTTGGGCGAGATTCAAGAGGCGCTGCAGTGGCGCTGGGTGAAGTGGCTGCCTGGGTGCAGCATGTAAGCATGGCAGCCATAGCCAGAGGGCCTCAAGTGGTGGTCCTTGGTGTAAGGGAGCACATGGGGTAAGAAGAGGGGTGAACAGAGCGTCAGGGCGCTTCCCTGGTGGTGTTGGGGCTGAGCGGCTTGTAGCCAAAGTCTTCTTCATCATCAGGATGCTAGTCTTCATGACGACGTGTTGTCGTCGCTAGGGAGTCCTATTTCGTAGGTGCATCGTCTGTCTGTAGTCTGGGCGCCGAATGCCATACAGGAGAGCAACGCAGGAGACACTGATGTTGGAGGCGAGGAGAGGGCTTTCACTACCAATGGCTTCATCGCTTTGCTCTCGTTTGCTGTATCTCGTGTTGCATTCTGCTTTCAGTTCGTGGACATGACTATCTGGATTTCAATGGGATGATGCAATTTTGTTCCTGTCATTCACTTTGCTCATTTTCCTTGCAATTGGGTATCAGAGCTGGTTCATAGGCTTACGCCTTTGGCTCCAGCGCTGTCTGTTTCTTTGTTGCACGTGGTGTTGGTACCCGTGCAGTGTGAGTATGATTGTGCTGAACGGTGTTTGAGTCATCCCCTAGGTAGGGAGGGAATGGCCGGCGTCTTCTTGGAATATTATTGGGTGTTTCCAACGGAGGCACCGGAGGCACTTGCCTTGTAATGTTTGTAATGTTTGTGTTTCCAACGCTATCAACTGCTCAACAAAATGCACGTCTTCACTGATGGTGAGAAATCTGTGGTTTGGGGCAGCTATCGAGGTACGTTTGTCCCTAACCTTATCTACCCTCTGAGCTACTTCCTACCGCGAGGAAGTGGGTTCCATCTTGAGAGTCCTCTCTTGGTGAGGAGCGAGAGTGCACTCTACATTGAGAGTCGATCTTCTTCAGGCGCATTTTGGTGGGAGAAGGGTCGTGATTGTGAAGAGCCCTGGGTGGACGAAGCACTGGGTCACGATGAAAGTCAACCCACCAGGAGTAGTTCACGCATGCTTGCGATGAAGTCTGTTTTGCTCTTGCTGCAGATAGAAAGATATGCTGTTTGAAGAGGCGGTTGAGGGAAGGGAAACACTAGAGCAAACTCCACACCCATAGCCAATAGAGCAAGTCAGGTTAAAAAAAAAACAAGAGCAAGTTAGTTTAAGCGCGTGAGAAGAAATGAGGCAGCACATAGAGGCAGTAGCAGAGTAGGAATGCTGACGATCGATGGCACTGGTTCGGTTGGCTGTCTACCAGCCGACCGTTTCACCAGTTGGTGGGTGGTCGGCACCCGCTAAAAAAAAAATCCTCTTTCTTTTTTGCGGGGTCCAAAACCCCCAATAACCCCACCAACACTGCCATACACCCCCCAACACCTCCATACCCGCCCCCCAACACCCTCATACCCCCCCC